TCCAGTTCCTTTTTCATGCTCTTTTGAATCATCCTGTATTGTGAGACGTAACTACTTTTGTGTCTTTCTTACTCTAAACACACCAGTGAATTTTTTCTCACTTTATTGATTTCACAGTTATGAATAGTTGCTTAAACATTTTATGGGATTCTGATTGATACTACAACCATCAGTTTTATTAAACATATCAAACGGGTAGTTCTTTTAACGTATGAAACGAGAAGATATTTTAGAATGAAATATCGTAATAAAAAGGAATGCGGAACAAGGAGTATGAACGATTATAACTAATGCGAATTCATTTTGAAGTAAACGTATCAAAATGAGCATTATTTTAAAAGAATATTGCGTTGCATTAAAAATTCAATGCGTTGAGAAAAGTGAATAAATATTGTAATTTTATTAGAGAGCATTTTTTTTACCTATACTAGGTAAGGAAAGTATTGCAATCGGGTCAAATTTCCGACATGCGGTTTTCGACGGATCTATACGTTTCACAGCCCCCTGTTTTCCTTAACGATCTTTTAAATATTTTGCCGCCTTAACAAGCCTACTCCATCTTTGACTATCTTGGGTTATTTCTTGCCAATTATCTGTATGCAGCTCTATAGCACCTCTTTTATTCGATCTGTCCATTTGCTTTTTGGCCTTCCAACTGGTCTTTAGTATTCTATTGAGGCATTGATTGTCGTGTAGTTGATTGCTCCAAGCTACATCATGCCCCGTCCATAAGATCACATTTAATAAATTCATATTTATTAAGTTACATTTCATTCTTTTCTAAGTTAGATTTACTTTTCTGTCACAAGTTGAAGCAACTGTGAAATCACAAAAGTTTAAAAAATTCACCGGTGTGTTTAAAGTAGAAAAGAGCCCTATTTTTAATGTGATTAATTTGGACGTCTATTTAATTTATTTTGAAATCTTTAATAGTATATAAGTCTATATTCATTACCTTCCGGTAGGGCTGGGTCAGTATGTACAGTTGTTTATTTTCTCAATTTGACACAGGGCAAGCCGCCTTGTTTTAATTTAGTGTTTTCTGAGTCAAATTAAGTAGATCAACTTCAATCACAGACCCCAGGATTCACCTCAGGTTTTTTTCTTGATTTGGATCGTATGTCAGGTTAAGGAACAGTTACGGAATGGACTTAATCCCTAACAACTATTAATATTAACTTTTATTTTATTTAATCATTTAATCATTCATTGACCTTTCTCATGACCTTTATCAACGCCTAAAAGCACAAAGCCCTAGATAGCCAGGTCAAGCTATCTCGTATAGCTTAGAAATAGTTATCTAGAATGTATTGACTGGACAGAAGACACTTATCAAGACTTAGAAAACAATAACCGTTTTCAGCAAAAGAGCACTTTCTCACAGACTTCATATCAATTCTAAAAGATAAGGATATCAATTCTTAATAGTTATAACTCCATTCACACGCTTCCTAGACCGTCCAGAATTGATTTATCCCCCCAACTATTCCTGAGCATATAACCCCTATGATCCTCAGACCAACTCACTCATGCAGTTGCATTCTTGAGTCATACTCTTTACTGTAGGAGACCTGGAGTGAACTGATGTAGTCAACTCATATATCCATAGTATATTATTCTGTATTTTAGATGCCATTTGTAACATTATGAATAAAAGCATTATTTATAAAGTCTCCACTGCCTCCGATTCGTTAACTGAACGAAATTAGGATTCGGCACTTCTCTATGATCCATCGCCTCTCATCTGACGATCCATTCAACAAAATCAATAGCTCTTGAGAGTCGTAAAAGATATCTACACTACCATATGGTACATATACACTTTTTTTTATGTGTTCCGTTGCAATTATTTCATTAGATCTAGTCCTTGCCTGATACGGTATAACTGATCCTAATAGAGAAGGGCAGGTCCGTTGTGGCAGCGGATGTAAGTAGCGACGGACAAGCTCGTTAGGAAACCGCAGGCTGATGGCTCACTATTTATCTAGTGAGGAGGGAGCAGGAGGTTCGTTAGTGGTACCTCCACCTCACTACTACACTACTACTCCTGTCTTTAGTTTTATAAAATAATATAACTCCTTAAGATAACCTGCCATACAAAGTTCCAAGTCACTGTTCGTATCAACAAAAAGTCAAACATGTAATCAAGATTTATTTTTTCTTTAATGTTGAACAGTACTGGTACATGGAGGACCCAATATGTAAATAACTCAAATCAAATTTTTTAAGTGAATGTTTTCTTTTGATACTAGTTGATTATTTGTAATGATTAGGCAAAATTTAATGATTGAATTTACCACTGGATATATGATGGAGAGACGAATGAAGACATACTTTTGTCATGGTCTTCGTAACTTATGATAGGAAGGTATAATATTTTTATTACCGTACTTATCATTCAATCCACCGTTAAACTTTTAGATATAAAGAATTAATTATTGATGTTATTGTAGTTTTCATGGATTCGTCTTATAGAACAACTTTTCACCTTACCAAGACAAATTTTAAATTCATGAAACATCACCCTACATTTTAAAAAAGTGATAATTTTGGAAATACTTTTGTTGCACCTGTAGATGACAGTTTGATTTGTAATATTCTTAACCTGATAACAATAAGAACAAGGAGGCAATAGCAAAAAATGTGTTTTTCATTTGAAGATATTAACAAAAATTGTCAACTTTTATAAAACAAAATTCTTGCGTTTCCTGCCTTCAATTTCTTGGTAAATGATTTTTTAATGATTGAGTAGTGAATGGTCCCATTTTTTAAGTCCCATTATATTAAGTACATCTGTATTAGGTATATCTCTTTGTATTTATGCGAATACAGTCATGTCAGCTAATGGCGAACAGCATAATATAAGGCTCCAGTAGCTGACACCCATTAAGTTTTCTACAAATTTTCCAATAACATTGTTAGAGGTCAATCAAAGAGAGCTAAGTTATGATGATCACTGATTGATGGTTGTTCCTGGGACGCTAACTGAGGTGACTTTCTCCTATTTACCACCAATTATTTCGGTTATAGTTTTCGGCAAGACTAAACCAAAGAAGAGAAAACATAGAAACCAAAATTGTGATAAAGTGGTAGAAGTTCCTGAAATCTTATTCCCATTTTTTTAGAATGGTGTCAGGTATTGGAAATTCATTTTTTTTTTATAAGGATAATCTCTATTTAAAACAATGCTTGATCAGACACACGTAGGACGGAGCATGCGCATAGAGGATCAAGACTGATGAGCTAACCTCAGGGTGTTTTATTGCCTGGCCTGATGACGGAATTCATTGGAAACTTATTTTAAGAGGCAGTTTTACCATCCCACGGGGCCTGAGTGATCATCAACTTCCAGACAAATGACCGGCCTATTATAAATGTTCGTTTCTAGAGAAATTAGTTTTAGCCTAACCCATTAAGACTGCTCCTGGCTGAAGTGGGTTGTCGCGTGGTCTTTCCATGATCGTATTTCACATCTACTTACAAGCCTATACTGATCACATTTCAATCATTATCTTGCTTGCTTTGTTTAACGCCTTCATTAAATTTCATATCCGTATCTTGTGTAAGAAAAATTATTGCGATACAAGAACATTAAAATGCTGTCATCAATTAGTTACTAGCAAATGTTTACCATCACGACTATAATGGAGCAGTTTATAAAATGCAAGATCGATAATTTTATAATATATCCCCGCATATATTATTACAGTAAGGCTCGAAATCGGTTTTGTACCAAATATAAACTCCTAACAAGTTCAAATATCATGAATGGAGTACCGTTGGATTCAAAATTTCACGGCGGTTTAGCGAATCGTACTCTCCGCTTTGGTTTTATTTCTAAAATAAATAAAGTCGATACAAACATTTTGCTAGACTTCAATAGTGGAGCGGTGGTCAGTCTGTAGATAAATATGGGACAAATTGGGCTTTGAAGATTTTGATGAGTACAGCAAGACCCGGATTGTTCCTTCGCAACTATTTTCGAGATATTGCAAGGCAAAGGGTTCGCATCCAAACAACCTTACGTCAATTGTAGTACTGTCATGGAATACATGTCTCATTTCGTCGAATTGAGATCCCTATGATCGAGAGAGGAGTTTATATTATTTATCGAAGGTGTTTTTGTCGGTAAGCCACATCATCGTTAATTCTTCACCAAATCTCAAGATTGAGCCACCAATTTTGAAGGTTTCCTTCTCCTTCAGACGGGCAAAATAGTCCAATCACTCCGCAAAATTCAGGCAAAAAAGTTATGAAAGAACACAAACTTTATTGGCGAATAACTCGAAAAATACAAAGTTTTCCCTATTTTTATATATTTGTGTCTATGATTATATAAAAGATTACTAAATTATCTATAAATGAAAAAAAATTCATTGAACTCGGACTATTTTTATCAAAGATACAGCTTATTGAAATTTGTAAACATGTCGGTTCCAAACAATAATGAAGTTTTAAATTAATTTTTGTTTCCTTTGTCGAATATATTTAGCAAGAAAGTAACAATTGATTTCTTACATAGGTTGCATTGTTTTATTTTCTTATTAATTTATTATTTGATCACTGAACAATAAACTGTGCGAATTTTCACGCGGTCCTACTACAGTTTTAAAAAATTGCAAATCAGGTCTCCGCCTCGAACCTATCGGATCTGACCTCTCGAAGGTCGAGTCTCTCGCCTAGGAGTAAGGAGTGCTTCGTGACGGCGACCCTACCTTGGATCCGTCATCCACTATTAACACGATAAGTGATCCACGGACTGCACGATTTGGACTGTTTCAACACCGTTTAACAGCCACTCCACATTTACTGTAGAAAGCTATTTGATTTATGTTAAGCATATAACTGCTAATAAAAAAAAAATTATTGTATCATAATGTTCGTATCTGTTCCCTCACTATCATTCCAAAATCCTCAAAGCTAAGCTAATAATAATATCAGTAATTAGGGATGGATCAAGGGACGAGAGCCATAAGTCGTTAACATTTCTGAAGTCTTACCTTTCCACCAGATGCTGTGGAGGAACGATTTGACCAGGAGTCTGAATCTTCACGTAGTCAACACCACGATCGAGAAACTCCTGAAAAAAATTATTATTACGTTATTCCTATTATAATAGTTCCTTTTATATTATAATTTTACATTATATGTCGTCCATTTTTATGGTGTACCAACGCTAATAACAGTAATTTATGACTAAAGACTGTCACACCAACCATCGCAAAAAAACAACAGCAATACTAACAAAACTCATTTTAAAACAGTAGATCAGTAATTATATCTAATCAAGAAAACTTATTCATGTTAATTTTTATCCTGAAAGGCTAAATTTCGTATAAAATGTTTTGTTTTTTTCTTTTGATAATTATAAACAATTTTTTTTAAATATATATATAATCTAGATTTTTATAATGTTTTTATTTAGACTCAATGAATAATTTAAAAAAATAATTAATCTACAAAACTGATAATTTATGTTATTTTCATCTTTGCTCACTGAACACCTTAATCCTTAATTGTGACAGATTGTAAAAATTCTGAATAAATAAGTTTGAAGAATAAAAATAAGTTTAAAAAAAAAACATCCATGTGATTTTAATTGTTTAATATTTTGAAAATGGTTTCTTCCTTTGAAAATGGCCAACGGGCTAAAAATTTGTTGTAGAAAAAGAAATAAAGTAGGACTATTGTGATCAAATATATTTTTATTAGTACTATTACAGTTAAGTCCTAACCTACAAGTTTGAATACATATATTTTTAAAAAATAGCATTTTATACTAACATTAAAATAATAATTACTAATAAATTGATTTCTGTACAAATAAATCGTCTTTCTTTAATAGAAAACTCGAATTTTGATTTCAAGTGACCAGTGTCCTAAACAGTATATAAAACACCATTACTGCTTCTAGTAATTATTGGAATTTTATATTTGATACATATCCACTTGAAATTTGCTTTCCGTCAACTAATAATAGAAGTGAATTTGAAAACAAAAGTCAAATTGTACCTCTTAGTTGAGGTACTTACAACTTCATACAGCAGCTTCATCCAGTATTACAAATGGAAGTCCTCATCCAAAAAAATTATCTTTTTTTTAGAGTGATTCTTGAAGCTGTTTATTGGAGTATGAGGCAATCAAACCCGGTCCCATATTACCACAATTGCCATTTTGGATCTAATATGTCCCATTAAAAAAAAAAAATAATAATGATAATAAACCAAAAAAAGAAAGAAATTTTAAGACTAAAAAAAACATTCATGAATCGCTACAAAATATTCTTTTAAGCCAATGTATAATGTAGTAACACTTAATATTTTTATCTTTATCATAAAATTAGAACAGCTTCGTCTAACAAGGTGAGATCACATTCAGTGGATCATCGAAAAACATATGATGCATTTACTAGTGTTCGTTTTAATGAGTCTTATTTTTTTTATTATTTTTTTTTGTTTACCTGTACCACTACAACCCATGAAGGATCTGGGGTTCAGTACTATTTAGCGAAAGCACTGTTTCTTAGTCAACGGTTGTGCAAAGAGGTGATTTGACCGAGGTCACGTTCAACCGCCAGGTTGAACAGGCCCTTAATTAAATAATTGATTAAGGGTACCCACTTTATAGAGGCTGGGTGTGCCCCAGGAGGGTCTCCCAACCCAGGGTCGCCCCACGGCCAATGAAACAGATAAATAAATTTTCTGCCGTGAGCCGGGGTTGGAACCTGGGACCTTTGCATTGGAAGCTTAGTGCCCTACCGCTGAGCTACCCCACTCCCTATATGACGCATACGAAAAACATATGACGCCTTTACTAGTGTTCGTTCTAATGGGTCTTAGGAGCCGAAAAAATATTATTTTATGTAATTAGAAAGATAAATCACGTTGTTTTTGATGTTATTTGCTTTTACTTTAGTTATTTTTGCAAAACATTATGTAATTTTTACTTTCACTTACTTATATATGAAATATGTAGTAAAGGAAAGTATAGCGATCGTGAACATTTTCGAATCTCAATTTTCAACGGAAATACAAATATCATGATGTTAATATAATAAGAACTCTGGCAATATTATATAAATATACATATGCGTTTTTCATACCGTAGAATGAAAATAAATTATTGTCTCTGCTATTAAATGAATTATCAATGCCTCACAATTACAGAAATTAGAAGACGCTTCCGGTAAAGTAGATCAAGTATATCTTTAATGCAAAAAGTTAGATTCATTTCAAGTGCCCATTAAATCTCTTAATTTTTTTAGAAATAAAATTCGCAAATTTTAGTACTTGATTTTTTAAAAGGTTTTTGATTTTCTTAACTAAAGCATAACTTCTCAGAATTTCCTCAAAATTCAAAAATACAGCAACCACAGGTGCAGCAATTGCACCAAAGCTGAATTTGTCATCTAATATCAATAACTTTTAGATATCATACTTTTATAAGATCGAAATAAAGTAAAGAAAAAGTTCTTAAACATTTTTAGTTTGTATCATTGGTTCTAATTTATTTACGGAGGTCGTGAAGCATATAGAGTCCTGAATTGTAGATAATTTTCGTATGGATCAGTGGATTAGTCTTGGAACGAAAGTCGATATATTTGTCAAATATTTTTCGATCTAGGACCACCAAAAATAAATTGTTTGAGGTCTGTGATTTCTCTCCCTAAGTAAAGGAGAATCGATAAAATAAAATGAAAGATATAACTTAATTAAGTAATAATAATTTTACTTACTCTTTTGTTATAATATTTAGTAGTGTGAGTAAGATCGATAACAAGACCTAGATCGGGAATTTTGTCCAGAAGTACACCGATAGTAAACCTGAAACAAATAAAATAATAATACATAAATATATTAATGCAACTCAAATTTCACAGCGTATAACTCTAACCATAAATTTAATTTAAATCAACTGAAAATCTAGTTTTTTTTTGGGAAGTGGGCGGGGGCTAAGTGTAATATATATTAATAGAATTATTAAACTAATAACGTGTAACTTAGGAGCCAAATATAAAAATCTAGTGAGTGCATCACACAACTTTCACTTACCGTTCACTTGGAGCAGCAAGTATTTTCAGGTAAAATTGGGCCATAACAAAAAATATTAGAAGTCCATTTTTATAGAACTAAACCTTAAAATAAATTTTTGGATTTCGGTCCAATTTATTAATGAAAACTCATTAAGATAATCAAAATATCACAAATTCTGTATATTATTGATAGCATGTAAAAAAAAAAAAATACCGTTTTATCAAATTCAAGATCTCAAACGACTGTAAATATATTAATCCTATTTAATGCTTACCAATACTTTAAAGCATTCTCTAAGCTTGTTTAATCCCATTCGACCCACCAAAAAATCTCAATTTAGTTATTTGTTTCAAAAAAGAAACTTGACAGTGTCCTAAAATATTCTCGTATTTTTAAGGCATTACTCGAGAGAAAAAAATCACAGCCGCTAAAGCAACTCGTGAAATTATTGAATAAGAAGGGGAAGGTGTTCCTGACGCACTGCGCAGCGTTGGTTTGAAAAAGTTAACAGTGGAGATATGACGTTGGAAACGAAGAAGGGCCCCGGGCGACCATAAATGGATATTAATGAGGTTCTGCAAGAAGGTATTGAGTCAAATCCGTCCACAAGCACTCGAAAACTTGCCAGGAGTGTGGTGTGTGAAAAGATACTGTTAGTCGCCATCTACTCTCCATGGGGAAGGTGAAAAAGAGCAGCAGACTGGTCCCTCACGAACTTACTCCTCAGCAATCAGCTAAGATGTTAGAAATTTGTGAAAATTTATTGAAAACACCATTTGGTATGAGATTGTAACCTGTGATGAAAAGTGGGTTTAATGGCGAAATCCGAATACCCGTGAGCAATGGCTAGATCGAAGCCAAACTGCATTCACAATATCGCAAAACTTTGTCTATTTCGGAACTAAAAAATCATGAATGCCCAGTTGCTTTCCACTTGAATCGGAGGATAATATATTCGCAAAATGGAAAAAAAAGTTGGCCTTCAAAAATATTAAGCCGTTTGCCCTATATAACCTCGTTATTTTGAAGGTGGGTGGAGGTCACACCAAACCTCTCGATATTTTTGAAGGTCGTCTATTTTCTCTACTTAGTGCTCAAGTTATCTTACGATTAAAGTAGAAAAAGCAAATGGGTATTTACGAGTTGTTAGTTAAATAGACAAAGTTTTCCGGTCTCCAAATTGAAAACGCTCCAATTCCGAGAATTTTCGGAAATACAATATTTGCAGGTTACAATGGGATGAAGCTATTTACGGTTTCAGAGGGATATTAATAATTTGATAAAAAGGGGTCTGTACCACGGACTAATACCGAGTTTAATCAAAATCGAATGAATCGTTTTTCAGAAAATTGTACACCCACACACCTGTGGGACTTGGTTATTTGGACGAAAGGGAACTCAATTGTGTAACTATTTCCGTTGAAAACTCTGATTCGAAATTTTTCACGATCACTATACTTTCCCTGATTATATATAAAAATATTTGGCCTAGTGAAAGGGAAAAAAATGTCACCTCAAACAAAAAAAAAAATTTTAATACTTCATTTTAAAAAACAACTTATTTGATTAAAATCACAGATTAAAACTCAATGTATTAAACATATTAATCAACACTTGATTTCAAAGTTTCCATTAATATTAAAACGGGTCTTGATTTTTAAAACACATATATCAGGAAAAACAACTCATTTATTTACATGCCTAAATGGTTCGTCCCGTTTTCTTGATATTTTCCATATTTAACTAGGGCATTTCCAAGAAAGGGACTCTTGACATTGGTCTAAATTATTCCTGAACACAGAAGCTGCCCGAATACGAACTGGCGACTTAACTTGATTTATGAAAAGATCAAACGCCAAGGTGCGACGATGTCGTAAGGTGTGTGTGTGGGTGCCCGGAGGCGCCGTCTATCGGTGGGTGGCCGTTTTATATCCAGCCTGATTCTTAAGGTGAAAAAATGAAGTAAATATATTTGCCGACGAGCTAAGGCCTGGTCCCTCATGTCAGGAACTGCAAAGGTAAGTGTATGAAGGTGAATTGTGGAAATAACCAATAGACCACATTAAAATAAGAGTGTCAGCAACAACAGAAATCTCTTCCTTTTCTCCTACTAAAAAAAGAAAAGAAAGAAAATCAGCAAACTGTCATAATATCATAGGACTTCATGACTGTTCAAAAATGGGGAAGGAATATCTGCAGCTACAACCGGTCTTAATTAAGTCACACTGGATGGTTAAGGAAAGAAATTTCTCGTCCAACATCTTTTCAGTCTCCTTGTAAGCTGAATTGTTATTAGTCTGCTGGGATCGTTGGTAAAAAGACCTGAAGCGTTAAAAGGGGTGCCCATCCCCTCCCCAAGGTCGAAGGCGCATAAATCCCCCCTCTTCTCCTTTCACGAAATTTTATTGCTCACCTGTTCTTAAAAACAATGCATGTGAGAGAAGAATTAGAAACAATGTAGAGTATATGTAATTACACTTGGTGTGGTTTCGTCCACGTGTTACTCTTGTCTCCTGGTTAAAACCTTTCAATCCGTCAAACCCCGTCAAAATGTACCCCCCTCAAATATTTTAATGACCCAGCTTGCGCCATATGAAACCCCCTTCTGGGTACCCCTGGGTGTCAATTGATTTTCGTAGATGCTCAATTTTGCATAGTTTTATACAAATCAGACTGATAACAGATGATACCTTTTAAAAATAAAAACACATATATATCATTTAAAACCTAGGAATCATTGGATAAAACGTCGTAATAAAACGAATGAGCACCTCAATGTTGTGAAGGTTCGATTTTCATCACCGTAATTTCACGATATACAGCGATAAATAACTGGAGCAATAATACAAATTGCCTCATGGAGATATATTACTTTTTATAAAAAAAATAAAAAAACCAACCAATAGTTGGGATGGCTAGATTAATCGTAGACAAACGAAATAGATGGCATAGTTCCTAAGCCTGATTCATTACTTACCTAAAAGAAAATACGATATAAAACTATAATATTTGATTAGATATAAGATACCGAAGGATAGTTGAAATAATTCCAACGGTTTTACGATTATATCCTTAATAAAGGAATTAAGATGGCACCACAAAAAAATAAAATAAATAAAAAGCCTTGTCTATAGCGAGAC